TGACACATATTATTTTCCAGCATGGTCATAATCACTCGAAGATGATGGAAGGTGACTTTGTTGTATTGCGGGCCATCCTTCACCATATTCAGGTGAACTAGAGGCACTACATATGCATCCTTATGTGGAAGGCTTCGAAGTCTAAGAAGATTGAATTGCCTTTTGCATTCCTAGTGCAGAAGATTTTGCATAAATTTGGTGTGCTTATGAAAATTGAAACGCTTAAGACAGCCACGGGATGGAATGCCATATTTGGTGAGCATCTACTGAAGCAATGTGGGATTATACAGAGTTGGCGGGTGTGTGGTACTGGAGGAGGGCACCTGAACCACCCCTTCACCATGATACTGAGATGGAGGATGCACCTACAGTGATGTTTGTGATCTTTAATATTTAATTTTTATTTTTAACCTAACAAAATTTTAATATTTAATATTCTTGCTGTGGATGCAGGCCTTGATGATGATGATGATACTACTGTAGCTTATGATGGACCTGCACGTCCCACCCGCATCCAACAACCACCACCTCCTCCATCTCTTGAGGGTGGATGGACAACTCCTGAGGGTGGATAGACAATTGATCATGTCATGGCATCCATGTATAACTTGACATGTGGCCTTGACCAGTGAGTTTAGGGACTTTAGACAGAGCACAAGCAAATGGCGGACTCAGATGGACAACAGGGTGACACGCTTGGAGGCTGACTACAGAAAGGGTGCCCGCAATATGGAGAAGCCTATTGCTGCTGTTGAGTCTGATGATAAGGAGGAGGAGGATGAGGATGGGGAGGAGACGCAGTTAGATTCCAGCCATTAGGGATTTTTTTTATGTATTCAAGCCTTTTTTGGATGTATTTAGCGAGGCTTTGGGTATATGTTTTTGGATGTATTTAGCGGGGCTTTGGATGTACTCATGCCTTTTGGATGTATTTAGTGGGGTTTTGGATGTATTCAGGCCTTTTTGGATGTATTTATCTTCATATATATATGACTTATTTTGTACTTGGAAGTGTATTCCATAAGTCTTTCTTGTTAATGAAATAAGTATTTGAAATTTACATTTTTGCATCATTGATGTTTTGCCACTATATGTGATCCGAATGAAAGCTATGTAGTTTAGAATGAGCAAACCTCATACTAGGTCCAAATAGGTATGGCTAAGTCAGTTTGGTGATGTTAAGATCATTGTTTGACCTAAATGACACCTTGGTTGCTTTCAACCAACTACGCAATTACCTTTATGCACTCTGTCCTATCTACCCGAGTACACCAGTTCATGTTACCCGGGTACACCAGCTTGGATTGGAATCCCAACTGCTGGTCCGTGCATTTTTTTGTTCTTGGAGACTATGTACAACCATGCCCTTATACAATATGACTTAGGGAGGGGCTAATTGGGTGGATAGCACGTACGTAGGATTATATCATGATAAGTAAGTAACGATGGCTTCATTTTTGGGAAATAACTGATGCACTTGCATAATATAAGAGGATTGACACTAAGTCAGATTCCGTGTGAATTCATGAATGAATTCTAAGTCAGAAAATGTTTATTTATGTTTTGTGTAGATTTCCTGTAATATAGAAATTTGGATTTATCCGAATAATAGCCGTTATGTTGTCCGTAGGTTTTCTGTTTAGAATGGTCTTTATGATCATATTCAAATGGAATATATCTGTTCAGTACAAATATGAGTAGAATAGACGTAGGTAGACCGTTCAAGAAATTTGTACAGGTATGAGACTGCGCAGATTATAACATTTGGAATTAAGTTTTGTACGTGGCAATGCAGGGAATAATAGGAAATGTGTTAATTCATTAATGGAATGTAAATCAGAACATTAATACGATAAAAGAAAAAGTTTATTCGTATTTTTGTCATAACTTAATTAAATACGCATGTTAAGCCTTTCGCTTAATTCATAAATTATAAAGCGCTACTGTACCATATGTAGGTTAACTCACCGGCGGTAGACAGGGGTGTTATAGTAGTGGCTGCGGCGATGGTGGTGGCAGCGGCGACAGTAGTGGTGGCATAGTGATAATGGCATGGTGGTGGTGGTGATGGCAGTGGCTGCAATGATGGTGGTGGTGCGGGTGATTGTGATGGTGGTAGTGATGATGGCAGTGGGTGGTGGTGGTGGTGGTGAGGACGACACTGGTGGTACAATGACGACGACGACGGTGGCGGTGGTCGTGTTGGGATGATGATTGTGGTGGTGATGATGGTAGTGGGGGAGTGTGTGAGAGAGACAAGTGTTTCTCATTTTGTGGTCGAATATAAAAAAGCAGAAGGAATTTTATTCTTTTTTATGTTCCTGGCACAAAAATTAAACCGGCTTATCCCGTGAACAAAAAAATAAATCGATTTTACCAAACGAGTTTTCTGTACATTTCTCTTCCCGGGAACATAAATGAAAAAAAAAATTGATTTCGGGAAGGTTGTCGTCACGCACACCCTCTGCCTAAAATATTATTAATCACTAAAAGTTATCATTTAACATTTTCTATAATATTTTTTTTTTTGAAAACCATATGAGTTTGTCAAAATTATAATGACATATTTTTTATATATAATATAAAATTATAATGCATATTAAATTATCAATTTTTTTGATAATTTAATGATTTAAATTATCAAAATATCAGTGCAAAACAATTAAATTATATATATTACTTTTGGGCAAACCATATGTATCATTCACGGAAGGTAATTATGTTCGAGTTTAGAACATCCACATCGTGGTGGGACTAGTTCTCCCAAAGGCCATTTTTTTTATTCAAAAGGACTTGAACTCAAGACTTTGCTTAAGTGAAATCAAACATGTACCACTTCAACTAATTAAATTATGGGAAATGTACTTCTCCTTTCATGAGAGAAGAGATTTTTTGCAGCAACCAATTACAACTATGTCTTACTAGTAAGACATAGTTGTAATTTTAAAAGTTGCTTTTTTCACTCTTCTCATAAGGCTGTCGACTTATGTGGTAAAGAGAGAAAAAACAACTTTAATATTACAACAATGTCTTACTAGTAAGATATAGTTGTAATTGGTTGCTGCACAAAATCTCTTCTTCAATGAAAAAGAGAAGTTGGGGACCCTTAAATTTTATAGTCTTCCGATAAGATTTGATTTCATAATTCAAATTCATGTTCTTATCACATGAGATTTTGAAATTGTATAGCATCTCAAGTTATCCTCAATGGATAAGGGGGATGTATTGGATTATGATTTTAAAAGATTTTTTTTGATATAAAAAATCTTATAGATTTTAAAAGACTATTTAGAATTGGAAGGACTTTAAAAAATTTTTTTACAATCAAGATTTCATAAGATTGGATTTTAATAGAATTTATAAGATTTGAAAGGACAAAATGGATTTATAAGATTTAAAAAAATCATATGAATTTTTAACAAGCATTCAAAATTGCAAGAGTCAATAAAAAAATAACAAAGAAATACAATGATATTAATTAAAAAAAGTAAAACCTAATATAATTTTCTCAACCAGTAAAATTTATGATAAAATTTTGTTTGTAATTTTTTGCAATTGATCTTGTAAACATTGGGGTTTTTATTCTACGTGATGAGAGTTTTCTAGCAATATATCATATGCATGTTTTCATTGAGTATTCCAATAAAATTTCGAATCTGAATTTCTGGGTTTTATTACATGGAAGTTTAGAAAATTTCCCAAATTATTTTCAATCGATGCATTGAAACCTTAAATTGCTTTGGAGCTTTTGAAAAACAAGTTTTTAGTGATCTATTGATACAAAAATTGTTTGAAATCGTTTCATATAGCGAAAGAATTTCGTTCATGGATGTATTGTTATGAACATAGTGTTCATATTATGAAAGTTTAATTTTTCTTTAAATTGATCTTGTTTTATTGATGTAAAATGAAAATTAGTTTGAGGGGTTTTTGTTCCCATGTTGTTTTTCATTGTTTCATGTTATTTTTTAATACAAAAATCACACATTTTTGTGCCAATAAAAATTGTGATTCACGACTAATAGCTTGAAAAATTATATTAAAACTTTCAAAAACTCTAAAATATCGCTAAAAAATTTGCTGTTTTTGATATGGATTAGATTAAAATCTTGTTGGGTTGTTTCTTAGTTATTTTGCGATAAAAATTGTTCAAAAATTTGCTGTTTTTGAGCTTTGACGAAGCTCCTATGGCTGAACCCGATTTTGAGCGGGTCGACCTACCAAATGAAGAAGAAAACAATGCTACAGAAATCTCAAGAAATTCTTGGAGATAGGGTGAAATTGTGAAAGAGGCATCCTATTTATATTTCTCATTAGAAAGTCTCACAAAATTTACATCGATAGAAAATCGGAAAACACTTTCTCCTTTAATAGGAGAATTGTTTTCTCATGTTAGTAAGAGATCGTTTTGCGTGTAATATTTTTTTTTGTTTATGGTATGACCAACTTGAATTATGTATGTGTAGAAATTTTTTTAACCTCATGTTAAATGAGAAATACAAAGCTCATAGAAAATTCATCAAAATTGTCAGATTTTTTGAATACTATAAGATTATTTTTTCTTTGTTTAAAATCCTTATCGAATTACCAACGAATTTAAATGAACTCTAGAATAATTTTTTAAAATCCTAATTGAATACCATGTAACTTTTTTTAAATCTTGTAAAATCTTAATTGAGTACAAATTTCTATCCGAAAATAATTCATTAAAATCCTTTGAAATCTGAATCTAATGGATAGACCCTAATAATTTTGTTTTTATAACAATCATTTGGATTTATGGTAAACAAGTACAGGAAAATCATTTGGATTTGGATTTGGATTTCGATATCCTCCTAATAGAGAATAACGGGTGGATTCCAACGGATATGGAGTGGACGATTGCGATTGGCCAAAAGCCAAAGGGTCCCTTTGGAATAAAAAGGGTTTAGAGTAGATTGAATTCTAGTACCAAGTTAGTTAACTATTTTCCTACGAAAGTCGGAAACAAGCACCCTCGGACTTTTCGGAACAACATATGTGAACGGGAGACACAACCACACGAAACAAGAAAACAAGACACAAAGGAACAAACAACCCATTCCACTTCTGCAACAATCGAGAAACAATAAATCTAAATCTTTTTCATATCTTCCCATACATTTTTTCATTCTCTGCACAGATCCTTCTTTCTTCATCGCCTTCGAATTTTCACAATTTCTTTTTTGCTTTCATTCTCACACCAGTAAGCAATCACTCTCCATTTATCATTCCCATCTTTTTATTTTAACCGCTTTTGTTAACCGCTGTAACAGATTTCCTTATTTTAACGGTTGATTTGATTAAAGAAACTGCTTGATTAAATTAAATCCCAAAATTTTGCTCCTTTTTTTTTTTCTTTCTTTCTTTCCTTTTAATTTGAACTGTTGCTTGATTAGTTATTTTCTTTAAACTGAGGGTTGTGGTTGTGGTCCATGTTAGTTAAAGTTGATTCGCAGTTTATGGCATTGAATCTTGATGAGATTGGTGCTGGAATTAATTTTGTCATGACTTGGAATTATGTAAATTATTTTTGTTGACAGTGATCCTCTGTTGCATGTTGTGTTATTGTTCAAAGTGATCTTCTTGCCAGTTAGTCCAATTTCATGTTTATGCGTTCATGTATTTTTCACTTCAACCATGCAGCTATTCTATAAGGTTTGGGGAAGTTATAAAGAATCATCATGGTTACGAAAGGGAACCCCGGAGACAATAGAAATAATAAGAGTACTATGTCTGTTTTGATAGTAGTTGGCTTGTGTGGTTTCTTCTATATATTGGGTTTGTGGCAAAGGAGTGGTTTTGGAAAGGGAGACAGCATAGCTGTTGAGATTACTAAACATACGGATTGCAGTGTTCTCTCTGATCTAAACTATGAGACCCACCATGATGATGATGCCGGAACACCTGATAGTTCTGAAGCACAAGTCAAGGAGTTCAAGCCCTGCGATGATCGCTACATTGATTACACGCCTTGTCATGATCAAGCGCGAGCAATGACATTTCCCCGAGAAAATATGATGTATAGAGAAAGGCACTGTCCTCCTGAAGAAGATAAATTGTATTGTCTCATACCTGCACCTAGAGGATATGCAACACCATTTCCATGGCCCAAGAGTCGTGACTACGTACCGTATGCAAATGCGCCTTACAAGAGCCTGACAGTTGAGAAGGCTGTGCAGAATTGGATACAGTATGAAGGAAATGTATTCAGGTTCCCTGGTGGAGGAACACAGTTTCCCCAAGGAGCTGATGCTTACATTAATGAACTTGCATCTGTTATTCCATTGGACAATGGGATGGTGAGAACTGCATTAGATACTGGCTGTGGGGTAAGTCAAATCATAACTTAACATCCTTGTTTTGGTTGAATTCGTTTTGTTGGTCATCTACTTAATGTTTGCATGAAGAAATTCTTGTCCATAATGAGACATTCCTGGCTAATAATTTTTAGCTTTCCTCGTGTAACCTTCCGCTTCTGAATGCTTCATCCATGCATAAAATTTCTCACTTATTGAAATACAAATGTTTCTTTCCTGTTTTTACTTTTCAAATATTGTGCCTGTGTTTGTGCATGTAGCTTCCATTTGTTCTATATTCTATCTCATTTTCTGATTATTGATGGTGTTAGGTTGCTAGTTGGGGTGCATACCTGTTTAAGAAAAATGTTATTTCAATGTCAATTGCACCAAGGGACTCTCATGAAGCGCAAGTTCAATTTGCTTTGGAAAGAGGTGTTCCAGCAATCATTGGTGTTCTTGGAACCATAATGCTGCCTTTCCCTTCTGGAGCTTTCGACATGGCACATTGTTCTCGCTGCTTGATTCCTTGGGGTGGAAATGGTGAGAATAACTATGATGTTTCTGTCCTAGGACAACGAAAATATTCTTTAGTTCAACTAATAAATTTCTTGGTATCTCTTTAGGAAATGATTTCGTAGGTCAGTAGGGCTTCTATGGATGAAAAAGAAATGATTGTTATGATATATGCATGCATTATAATGATTCAAAGCCTGATTCAGCTGGAATACAATATAAGTTTAACAACTTAAAGATTGGCTTGTTGACTACTTGTATTTGTACGCATCAGCCTCAAACAACCTAAAATTATTTCAAGTATTAAAACTATGGTCTGCTGATTTATAATGATTTTCTAAATCCCCTTCTGTTATAATAGATTAATGCTTGATTTTATTTTATTTTTTAATTCATTGTGTTTCTTGTTTTCTTATTTTCTGTTTAATGGTTAGTTAACAAAAGCAGTACTTGGGATTTAAAAAATATTTTTGGAATTGTTCAGATGGTATGTACATGAAGGAAGTTGACCGAGTTCTTAGACCGGGTGGTTACTGGATACTTTCTGGCCCTCCTATTAACTGGAAGAATAGCTACCGAGCATGGCAACGTCCTGAAGAAGAGCTTGAGGAGGAGCAAAAGCAGATTGAGGATGTTGCTAAACTTCTTTGCTGGGAAAAGAAATATGAGAAGGGTGAAATTGCAATCTGGAGAAAAAGATTAAATTCTGATGAATGCAGTGAACAAGATACTCAGCCTACAATGTGTGAATCCACAAATTCTGATGATGTCTGGTAAAGTGCTTCACTTCATCCTTTTGCCCCTTCTCCTTTTGTTTCATTAATTACTTATTGCCAAGTTAGTAATTTATGTTCAGAAACTCAAATACCTATTTTTACTCTTGTGCCAGATTCTGTGTCAACTTGGAAGGACAATATGTATTTCAATTTAAATAACTGCTTAAAGTTCTTCTCAATTATACTTCTATTAATAACAATAATAGACCCTTTTTGTAAAACTGATAATCCTTTTCTGCCTTCAGTTGCTAATCCTAGTGGTTGTCCCAAACATATTTCCTAAGCTTTGTAATTGGGAGGATACTAGTTTGAATTTTATTCTATATGCATTATGTAAGATTATTTCTTGGCTTGTAAAATGCTGTCTTTCAAGATATTGAGGAATTGAGAAAATTTGTTTTTCAATTTTTCTGGGGATCTGATTTTTTCAGTCCTTTATGGTGGAAACTTACTATTGTCTATTGGCTTCAATACTTATCTGAAAGGTCTGAAAATGTCTAGGTACAAGAAGATGGAAAATTGTGTAACTCCAACTAAACCTAGTGGTTCATGGAAGCCATTCCCAGAGAGACTCAATGTGGATCCTTCCAGAATTACCAGTGGATCCATTCCTGGTGTATCTGTGAAGGTATTTGAGGAGGACAACCGATTATGGAAGAAGCATGTGAATGCCTACAAGCGGATCAACAAAATCATTGACTCAGGGAGGTATCGTAACATCATGGACATGAATGCTGGTCTGGGAAGTTTTGCTGCTGCCCTGGATTCTCCCAAATTATGGGTTATGAATGTTATGCCTACAATTGCTGAGAAAGCTAACCTGGGTGTTATATTCGAGCGTGGATTGATTGGCATTTATCACAATTGGTAACTTCTATGCATTGGTTTCCTTTCTTTTCTTTTTCATTTTGGTTCCTCCCCTTCAAATTTAATTTGTCATTGATCTGGTATGTTTCTATAAGTTTGTCCTTCTATCTATAAATTAAGATGTTAACTCTAGTATAAGAGTTGCTTTGACCTTCCACTGGACAAAGAGAAGTGTAAATAGTATGACACTTTGTGCATTGGAATTTTATAAGCCAGTCAAATAGGAATGTTTTGGTGATTTATTCAGAATTTTGAATGGTTGATCTGTTTTATTAAAGAAGAAAAAGTTTGTTGATATTACAGGGATTTAGGTAGAGAATGAGGAAAAGAGAGAACAACTTCTGAATAATAGAGTATAATATTGATATATGGTGTGTAATGATGTGTTACACAATATAAAGAAATAACTCTTATTTATACTAGTACTTAACTCTTAATTTTAATTAAATAAGGAAACAAATACAAAAGGGCCGTGTAGTACTAGACTCGTGGAGCTGATTATGTTCAACACCCTCACCTTTATCGCTCCATCGTAGGTGCCTTTAGTACGCACTATGCAGCATTAACTAGGCCTGAAATCAGTTAGTGTTAATAAAAGTCAGCAGTTGATTTCTCTCCTAGGTCCTTGAAGAGGATGGGAAAGTAGTCGAGCGATATCTCAAGGGTACTATCAGTCTATCTATGAAGCACCAATTCTGACACGGCGTTTTTCGATACGTTCCCGATACGGGGTGTTGATACGATACGTTTCCGATATGCGTATCCTATACGTTGGAATTTTTTTTTTCTGAGTATTGGTGCTTCATAGCAGTCTATCACTCATAGCTTACTTCTTCAGCTTAATTTTTATGATGCTGACTAGGTAAGTAATTGATACCATCCTAGTCAACAAATGATTTAGAAGGGTGTATAAAAGAAAGAGAAGCAGGAGAATATTGCATAATGCTGAGTCAGCAAAAGTTGTTAGGAGTGGAGATTAGTTGTGGGAAGGCACATGGATGGCATTGAGTCACGTAGGGGAAGCTGGTTCTATTTAGAGGAGGGGATCAACATTCTGATGGGGCATCTTGGAATATTGTTGGAAGAGGAACCTGGGAGAGAGTGAGGCCTCTCCAATTGTCTCACATTATCACTTTCCTTTGTTGCATTGTCATTTCATTTTCCAGTTCACTATTATTTTCCCTTTCCCTATAATTGCTGTCTCTGTTTACTGTCATTTGGTTGTAATGCCTCTTTGTAATTCCATGGATATATGAAAAGCTTGCCAAAATCCCCTGTTTTCTATTGTTTAGTCTGTTTTGTGTTGAAAGGTCTCTATCGAATTGGTATCAAAGCTATCTGATCCGGGTAGCTTTGAACCATATTGATAACAAAAAAAGAAAAAGAAAAAAAAGAAGAAAGAACAATTTCATAAAATGAGAATTCCTGTGTTTTCCGATGAAGAAAAAGCCTGGGATGGTTGATTCAAGCTGAACAGTATTTCGAGACACATGGAATTTCAGACAATGAAAAGCGAAACGAAGCTATGAAGGCGTTCATTGGTCAAGCTCACATCTGATATCGATACTGGATTTGGCATAACCCAAAAGCTAGTTGGTGGACCTTTTTAAAAGCTTTCTTCAAGTGAATTTCAACCGGAAGTTTGCTTGGAGCATGATGAAATTGGACCAGAGCATGAAGTTTACGACTCTGATCTAAAGTCAGAGGCAAAGATGACACCGTTGAAAGATAAGGAAGGAGAGGAGAAAATGAACAGAATATTTGAGGGAGAAGGTTCAGCAACCCCACCGCTAGAACAGCCACTTGCAGCGATGAAGCAATCAACTCTTGAGCATGAAAAAAATTCTGAACAACATCAACCATATGAGAAAGTATTGCAAGTAAAGGTGCTGCCACTTCCATCTGCAGTGGTGGCTGACCTATCCCCGTTGTTAAGATCATCAGACTTGGACCTTAGAAACAGTGCATGGCGAACAATAGAGATGGCTGTAGATGAATGTGGAACACACGAAAGAACGTGATACGATTAATGTAAATGAAACACAAATTTACTGAATATTCCTCTTTGTATTGATATTTTGTGAACAAACAAGCAAAAAGAAAAGCATTACATCTGGTTCTCCATAGTGATGCTATGGATCAGTGTTTAAAGGAAAGAAAAATACAAGAGACGCCCATGCACTCTCTTAAGAAAATACATAACAAACTTGACCCCTTGATACCACTAGCACCTTGTCCTCAAGGTGAAGTTCTGGAAATTGGTCATCCAAAGTAACAAAATCCTCCCACGAGTTTTCGAATTCTGGTAGCTCGTACCATTTGACCAGCACTTGAACATTGCCCTGAGCATCCCTGTGCCAATCCAGAATAGCCTCAGGCTTCACCTTTAATTCCCATTCAGCATTCATTCCTTCTGGAAATGGTTGCACGTTATGCACCAACGGATCAGCTTTTTTAAGCAAAGATACATGGAAAACCGGATGAATTTTACATCCAACCGGTAAAGATACACGATATGCAGCCATTCCAATCTTTTCCTCCACTGAAAAGGGCCCATAAAAACGAGGACTCAATTTCTCATTGATTCTTGTTGCTAGTGTTTTCAATCGATAAGGTTGAATCCGTAGGTATACACTATCCCCTACCTCAAACTATACATCTCTTCGATGTTTATCCGCCTGTACCTTCATCCGATTTTGAGCTTTCTCTAAAGACACTTTCAACTCATCCAAAATGACTTCCCTTTCTGCCAATAAAGAAGACACTGCATCCACCTTCAAAAAACTATTTCTGACCCGTAGTATTTGTGGAGGATCAATTCCGTAAAGTGCCTTGAATGGTGTCATTCCGGTTGATTTTTTATATGTAGTATTGTACCAGAACTCAGCTCAATCCAGCAATCTTGGCCAACTCTTCGGTTTAGGGCCACAGAAACAACGGAGGTACGTCTCCAATCCTCTATTAACCACCTCAGTTTGCCCATTTGATTGTGGGTGATACGTTGTACTGTAATGCAACTTAGTACCAGCGAACTTGAATAATTCCGACCAGAATTTGCTCAAAAAAACCTTGTCTCTATCTGATACTACCACTAAAGGGAAGTCATGCAAACGGACAACTTCCTTAACAAACAACTCTGCCACATTCTTTGCTGAATAAGGATGAGACAACACCATAAAGTGGGCATATTTTGTCAAACGATCAACCACTACAAAAATGGTGTCAACCCCAAATGCTCTAGGGAGACCACCAATAAAATCCATTGAGATTTCAGACCAAACCTGTGTGGTAATGGGAAATGGCTGTAGGAGACCAGTAGGTGACAAATTATGGACCTTGTTTTGTTGACAAACTGAACAAGCCTTAACATACTGTTGATTGAATTTTCTCATTCATTCCCAATATACTACCCCCAGTACTTTGTTATATGTCCGAGAAAAACCCGAATGTCCGCCCACATTAGAATCATGAAACTCATGCAGAATTAGGGGAATAAATCTAGAAGATGAAGATAGTACTAACATGTCCTTGTAGAACAGTCTTCCTCCCACTAATTTAAACCCCACATGTGCATCAGAATTCAATATCAAAGCTTGTATGATTTTGCGCAGCTTCGAATCTCCTTGGACCTTCTTATCCACCTCCTCCAATTCACGAAGCTGTACCTGAGAAAGTGAGGAATAAAACATAGTTCTAGAAAGAGCATCTGCCACTACATTTTCTTTCCCGGGTTGATACTGAATTTCGAAGTCATAGCCCAATAATTTAGATGTCCACCTTTGTTGATCTTCTCCTAAAATACTCTGGTTCAATAAGAACATGAGACTTTTCTAGTCAGTTTTAACTATAAAATGCCTTCGTAGAAGATACGGACGCCATTTCTTGACTGCAAAGACGATTGCCATTAATTTCTTCTCATAAACCGATTTGGGCAAAGCAACTTTGGAAAAACCTTGGCTAAAGTAAGCCAAAGGTTGCATAAGCACTGCTCCTATACCCTTCCCTGAAGCATCCGTTACCATCGTAAACACCTTTGAAAGATCGGGTAATGCTAGCACTGGCATACTGGTCATGGCTTTTTTTAACACTTGAAATTCCTCCTCTGTTGATTTCTCCCACTTGAATCCTTCTTTTTTCAGCAAGTGTGTCAAAGGCTGAGCTATTTTCCCGTAGTTTCACAAATTTACGATAATAACCAGTGAGTCCCAAAAAACCCCGCAATTCCTTCACATTCCTAGGGCTCGGCCACTCCACCATGGCCTGGATTTTATTGGGGTCAGCACTAACACCATAAGCAGTGTTAAAATGACCCAGATATTCAATCCTACTTTGCCCCAATTTACATTTTTTCTTGTTAACAAGCAGCTTGTGCTTTTGTAGAGCTGAGAATACTGATTGAAGATGTTCAATATGTTCCACGGAGTTCTTATTATAAATCAAAATATCATCGAAAAATACCAAAATGAACTTCCTCAAAAAATTCTTCAGTACCTCGTTCATAAGAGCATTAAAGGTTGACGGAGCATTCGTGAGTCCAAACGGCATCACTAAGTATTCATAATGACCCTCGTGCGTCCTGAATGTTGTTTTGGGAATGTCCTCCTCCTTCATTTTGATTTAATGGTAACCGGATTTTAAATCCAGTTTACTGAACACACTAGATCCCCCAAGTTCATCCAATAATTCCTCTACCGCCGGTATTGGAAATTTGTCAGGGACTGTCATTTTATTCAACGCCCTGTAATCCACACAAACTCTCCGACTGCCATCTTTTTTTTTACCAGAATGATCGGGCTAGAATATGGACTAACACTGGGTCTAATAAACCCATCACTCATTAATTCAACAATCAATTTCTCTATCTCTGTTTTCTAATAATAGGGATACCTGTATGGGCGACAGTTAGGCACCTGACTCCCTGGTTTCAAGATGATCGAGAGATCTCTGGTTCGTTGAGGGGGAATTCTCGTTGGTCTTGAAAAGAGATCTTCAAATTCCTC